TTGGAAGACCGGCTAAGTGCCATGGAGATACAAAAATTTCCCGGCCTAGACTTCGAAGATCTAGGTCTGTCTTCTGGGGTGGTAATCCCACATAAATTCAAGGCACATGTCTTTGCAAAGTAAGACGGGGCATCCTGTCCTAAGCTGCATCTCAGGTCTTACACAAGGAGGATCCAGCCCTACACGGCTGACAAGAATTTATGGATTCACTTCTTTCAGGATAGCCTGTCTGGAACCCAACTCGACTGGTTCTATCAACTGAATGGAGCTAACATCCGCACCTGGGAGGATTTGGCCACTGCATTCTACAAGCAGTACCAGTATAATGCCGACCTTGCTCCCACGCGCACTCAGCTCCAGGGAATGTCTATGGGTACAGGCGAGGGCTTTAAAGAGTATGCTCAAAAATGGAGGGACCTTGCTGGAAGGGTACAACCACCTCTAACTGACCGCGAGCTCGTCGACATGTTCTTGGGGACCCTGTCTGGTCCATTCTTCAACCACCTGATTGGGAATTCTGCTGCTGGGTTTACAGATTTGGTCTTGACCGGGGAAAGAATAGAAGCTGGCATCAAGTCAGGGAAAATACAGAATGGTGACTCCTCGAACACTGAGAAGAAACCATCCAAGAGAGAATCTAGTGCTGTCTATGGCTCAAGAGGGCAGAATAGGTCCGAACACCGCCAAGATGTCAACGCGGTGCTTATTGCAAAACTGGCCGGCGCCCCTCAGCGTCGCAATCAACAAAGGGAAGAGAGACCCAAAAGGCAATTCACTCCCCTCGGTATGACCTTGTCACAGATATTGCCACAGTTGCTGGAAACCAAGTTGGTAACTCTCATGGACCCTCCAAAGAATCCCAACAGGACGCCTTCAAGGTATAACCCCAATGTTCGCTGCGCTTATCATTCTGACAGCCCGGGACATGCTACAGATGACTGTTGGACTCTGAGAAATAAGGTCCAGGATCTGATCGACGCAAATGAAGTCCGGCTCGACTCTCCAGAGACTCCGAATGTGACCACTGCTCCCTTATCAAAACATGGCTAGGATTGGAAACTTTTGTTCATTTGAATGTTCAGATTGTAATTTTCTTTGATTGTTCAAACATTTTATTTCATGTCAAACTTGGTTATTTCATTAATGCATTACACATGTCTGTTTTGAAGTAATTATTTCGTATTCACTATATGCAAACTGTTTTCATATTTTTGTGATGATCAACTCTTGATTGAAAATTCTAAGCCTCTTGAGGGAGGATGACAAAAACGATACCACGATCTTTACAGTATGCTTTTGAACAGACCCCGTTGATGAGGTACATGCGTTGTTTCAATTCCTAAACACTGGAGTTATAAGGAAGATAATCCCTCGTCAACCCCTCTGAGCCAAAGAAGTAAGAGTTTTTCTTTTCGAAATTTAAAACCCTTAATCATAACCTGGGGCATGGTAGTCTCTCAGTTGATCCAAGTGCATAACGAATGGCACCAAAGAGGTCCTTACAAAACAAAAGACAGTGATGGTTCCGAATAATCATACAGACAGGCAGTCATTACTTCTCAAAATAAAAACCCATTAAGTCAAAACCTATGAAGGAGACTTACAAAACTGGGGCATCCCGCTGACTGTAATTCCAAAAAGAAACAGTTCAGGCAAAAAACAGGGATAATAAAAGAAAAAGAAAGAGGTCCTACAAACCCTCAACAAAAAAGGAAATGACTGCCTATTCAAAATAAACTGTCAATATCCGAACCATCACCAGAATATCAGGACAAAGATTCAAACAAGGTCTAACGCACGATCAACTGAGTTTAGGTTCGAAGAACATCACGAAGAGCGGGTGGGTACAAATAATTTGAGCCTTTATCCTTTGTTTCTTAAACCGTGAACCAGGCCACGTTATAACCCTCAAAAGTCCTAGCTGAAGCGTGGGTTAGTTCGAAGGCGTACTGTTACGAAAGGTATCCTGACTCCTTAAGGCTCGCTGTAAAATAACGAGTTTGACATCACAGTTTACAAAAGAACTCACTTGTTTTATTAAAAAAAAACTGCATTTTCAAAAAATTCGAAACAGACATAAGCTTTGCATTTTTAACATAACTTTGTTTGCATACGACTATTTGTTTGAACAGCATAGAAGCTCGCACGACGAATATCGGATGAACAAAAGCACTCCAATCAAGGGGCAGACATGATCATGTCCCGGCATCAGGGGCAATTAAGTCAAGATTCGAAGAATCTCTCAAAAGGCCAATTAGCCTGGGGCAAATCTCCGGCTAAGTCACTTGGGGACATTCCAGCAACAGATCTTGCACGATCAAACACCTTCTGGTGGCATGACAAAACACTTCTAACAGAGGCAGCACCCTGCATTCCGAAAGCATGGACATAGTCGAAAAAATACTACGCACAATCAAAGACCCGCTAGGTTGACATACCTAGGCAAAAATCAGGGCTTCCCGGCGAACCAAAAGGGTTCGGGCAAAAATAAGGGATGAAAATGAAAAAAAATCTGTACACCCGGCAAGTCGAAAACCTGAAAAGGCGGCTTGGGCAAAAATGGGTATCCCGGTGGACTGAAAACCCGAAAGGGCGGTCCAGGCAAAAATTAGGGATTAAAGCGTACGACTATGTCCCGGTATCTCGTCATTCGCCTACCAGAAGAGGATTCGTCAAACGACAGTCATCAAACACCTTCACAGGTACCTTCTTCTCCAACAGAAACTGGGGCAATAATGAGTTGTCTAAATGATCCGGTTGCCCTGTCCACCGAAGTGCCAAGGTAAGTTCAACTGAAGAATGCGACCAAGATACCTTCATTTCCAACAGAGCACAACAACGAAATCCCCAGCGGAGTTATCCTCATCAACCTCAGCAAAGTACCTCTCTTTCCCTGCAGAGTAATTTATTCGCCAAGTTTATTCCCCAACGGAGTCATCTTCTCCTACCGGTATTCTTGCAATCATTATCCCCAACGGAAACGAAGAATCTCACTCTTCAACATCAGCCCAGGATTTGACTTCCCGGCATCCGTCAAGGATCTATTTTCCCAGACGAAGATACCTTCATAAACATCATATTGTGATACATCATGATACGTGCATATACGCATCATATCATACAATCTCAGGTGTTGAGAACATCGTTGCTTGATTCATATCATGCATTGCATATGACTGACCTTTACCTTTCAGGAAGGATACAGTTAAATGATCAGCTATGTAGACGAATACAGTCAAAAGAGACTAACACAGTCAAAATAGACAAATCCAGTCAAAAGAACATAAGTGCAGTTAAAATTACTTTCACCCGTCGTCATAGACACTTGTCGTCATAGACACTCGTCGTTATAGACACCCGTCGTTATAGACGCTCGTCGTTATAGACACTCGTCGTTATAGACACTCGTCGTTATAGACACTCGTCGTTATAGACACTCGTCATTATAGACACTCGTCGTTATAGACACTCGTCATCATAGACACTCGTCGTCATAGACACTCGTCGTCATAGACACTCGTCGTCATAGACACTCGTCGTTATAGACACTCGTCGTCATAGACACTCGTCGTCATAGACACTCGTCGTTATAGACACTCGTTGTTATAGACACTCGTCATTATAGACACTCGTCGTTATAGACACTCGTCGTTATAGACACTCGTTGTTATAGACACTCGTCGTGATAGACACTCGTCGTGATAGACACTCGTCGTTATAGACACTCGTCGTTATAGACACTCGTCGTTATGGACACTCGTCGTTATAGACATTCGTCGTTATAGACACTCGTCGTTATAGACACTCGTCGTTATAGACACTCGTCGTTATAGACACTCGTCGTTATAGACAATCGTCGTCATAGACACTCGTCGTTATAGACACTCGTCGTTATAGACACTCGTCGTTATAGACACCCGTCAATAAAGACCACCCGTCCATGGAAATAACATGTCAGTAGAGACAACTCACCAACCTTACTAATTCCAGACCCGATTTCTGTATCTTGCCAGGATGTATCTGTTGAAGACATTTCAAGGCCTTCCCTAGTCCAGCTAAATCGACCCCAAACAGATTTTTCTGATGAAGACTCAGTAGAAGTTATCAAAGGTTTTTCTCAAACGTCCGCTTTTGAGATTATAATGTCCTATGGTTCTCTCCCCAATGTTGCGGAGATGATAATTCCATCCCAGGTTTTTCTCAAACGTCTGCTTTTGAGATTATAATTTCCTATGGTTCTCTCCCCAATACGGCGGAGACGATAATTCCACTCCAGGTTTTTCTCAATGTTTGCCTTTGAGATTATAATTGCCTATGGTTCTCTTCCCACTAGTGCAGAAATGACTTTTTACATCGGGTGAAACTGACTTTTTACATCGGTTCTGGGTCCGATGTAAAGTCAGGCGATATAGTAAATCAGGTACTTTTTACATCGGTTCTGGGACCGATGTAAAAAGTCCCTTTTTTACATCGGTTATAATATAAGAACCGATGTAAGAAACAGTTATTATGCACATTTCTTAAAAAATTGATCCAGTTTTTTACATCGGTTGGACGTAATACCCGATGTAAAAAGTCCCTTTTTTACATCGGTTATAATATAAGAACCGATGTAAGAAACAGTTATTATGCACATTTTTTAAAAAAATTGATCCAGTTTTTTACATCGGTTGGAAGTAATACCCGATGTAAAAAGTCCCAAGTGACGCAAATTTTTACATCGATTATTACTCTCAACCGATGTAAAAAGTACCCGATGAAATGAATATTTTTTCAATTCGTTTTCAATCATTATGGCCCATTTGGTTTCAACCCATTTTCAATACATTACAAAATATGTGTGTTTGATATATAAAGAGTATTATTGTCTCTAGACTATATTTTAGCTAAAAACCATTTCACAACTTGAAAACCTGTATGTAAAAGCATGCTGATGACCGCTACTTCTACACTTCCAAAACCATCTTTTTCTGTTTCATTCACCATCTTTGCATGCAGATCTAAACCAGACCATAATTATTACACAATAAACCTTGCATCCACGTAAGTTATATGTTATCATTTAATACCATATCACTCAATCATCAACCAAAACAAACATCACCCAAATAAATAAACTAACCAAACAAACACTAAAGAAGAGAGGATGAGAATATTAATGAAGAATCATGGAATATACCTTGGCTTATAGCTTCAGCTGCTTGTGGAAACCAAAGCACGTACTTTAGAAGATCTAGTATCTGTACAATATAATAATCAATATGAAGTGAATTGATAAGCAATTAAAAAGTGGTGTATCTATCTAAATAAAGTAAAAAACAACAAGTAACCATTAAGAAGTGATGGTGTATTTTCCAGAATACTTGTAGATGAAGATAATGAAATACTATGGCCCATGAATATGATATTTGTAGATGAAGATAATGAAATACTATGGGTCATGAATATGATATTTGTAGATGAAGATAATGAAATACTATGGGTCATGAATATGATATTTGTAGATGAAGATAATGACTATAGTTCGTTACTTTCATAGGTAATGGCTATATAGTAACATCAATTAAAAGTTATGAAAAGTAATATATTCATTTGTGAGAATTTGCACTGCAGTTGTTTACACTGGTGCAAAATAAGTATGCATGCAACAACAATTTTCAGTTTTGTCACGAAGCAGAATTTTGTGTAGTTTCACGTCGAACAAAATGAATGTTTCATGTAGTTACTGCAGGTTTAACACTTGTTCTTCTTCCAGCAATCACATTTGTAATAGCAGCTTTTGTAGGGTAATTACCACACTCACTTCTATATCTTGCTTCAGTTGCAGAATCTGTTTCTTCTAATTTGAGATTTAATGCATTACAGATTAATGGAGAAGTGGTTGAAGTAAATGTTTGTTTTTGAGAGTTGGAAAGTTGCAGGAGACAAGATAGTCCCACAATGATTTGTAATCAATAGACATTAGTGTTTATAACCAAGTCACACACGTAGTCCAATGAATTGATTTAGATGGCGATTATCCCGATAGATTTGGCGAAGACATATCTATAACAATTGGTAGAAGGCGCAATAACATATGCACATTATTTATTTTTCTTCAGATGCATTGCTAAGAATTTCAAGAAAGAAAGGTTGTGTTGAAAGTAGAAAGAAGACCAATGAGACAACGTGATAAAGTAGCTTTTACACTGAGTTGGAAATTTTACTTTAAAGTAAAAATCAACTCTAACAATAATTACTTTACTTTAAACCAACTTTTAAAGTAAAAATCACTCTAACATTAATTACCTTACTTTAAACTCAATTGTAACTCAGTCAATTTGGTAAAAATAATTCCATTCAAAATCACATTAATAGAGCAGTCTCCCAAACAAACAATATCCCATGGGAGTTTTTACCTTTATTTCGTCTACTCCCCTTGTTCCTAGTCTTGTGTCAACATCACATAATAAGCTACATATGAGATCCCTAGCTTCAGCTGATATCTTGGGTTCTTCGGGGAATTTCAGGCATGCTTTCCAATTCAAAATCTGACACAATACAGGAATACCAACTTGGTGGAAATAATTAATTTAGAAGATATAGAAATGACGGAAAATTCAATCAACAGCAATACCTTCCGGCAGGTCATCCTTGGATCATCAGAACAGAATGGAGGATATCCAACAAGCATCTCATACATGATTGCCCCAAGAGACCACCAATCACACTCTATTACATACCCCTTCTTGAGCAAAACTTCAGGATTGATGGATGGATAAGTGTTGTCTGACCAATTGGGTTCTTTCATTTTGGAGAATTTCTCGAAGGCGTTGAGACGGAAATTGAGCATCCAATCTGGTTCTTATTTAAGGGTTGAGATTGACCTAACTGTTTCGTGGGAAAGTCCTTTTGGGATGGTGAAGGAATCGATGTCGATGTTGAAGCCGAATTTTGCGTCGTAGTCGCGGTTGCGGAGGATTTCGCGGATTTTGTCATCGGAGGAGATGTTGCGGGGTTCGTAGCTGACATCGGCGCGGATCTTGAGGGGTTTGGATTTGGGGGTTTTGGGGATTGGGAAGTGGTTGGGGTGGTGGGGGAATTTGGAGAAGGGGGGTTCGCGGCTGTGTTGAGGGTGTAAGGAAGATAGCCTGCCGTTGAGAAGAGAAGCCATGGGGATAGTTTGTTGCGGTGAAGTATGTAAAGAAGATGAATGTGTGAAATATGGAAGAGGATTGAAGTTTCGGGAACTTGTGGTTGTCGTGTGGGTAACACGTTTAAGGATCAAACTATAACTAAATTTTAATCATGTCTGAAGTGAAATAAATGTTAACAAAATATCACAAATCTTTTTCTGATATTTTTACATAGTGGAGAAGCTATTACATCGGTGGATCCTAATAACCGATGTAAGAGTTTTGAACCTATTACATCGGTGGATACTAATACCCGATGCAAGCTTCTTTTTTTGACTTTTTTACATCAGTTTAAACTTCTCCCGATGTAATTGTTTTAATTGATTCTTTAATTTATTTTTATATTAATATCTGTTGTGAAGATATTACATCGGTTTTTAGTTAACCGGTGTAATATGTTACTTTTTTTTATTAATATTTCTACTACCTTGTTTCTTATTTACAAAAATGCCACCGTATTTTTTTCTGAAAACTTTTTACATCGGTGGATGCGTTTGCCCGATGTAATAGGTAGCGAAATATATATTTTTTCTTATTTTTTATATCATTGCAAATAAATACCTGATGTAAAAAGTTTGTTAATTGTATTTTTTACATCATATATTTTGATACCCGGTGTAAAAACCTTTTCTCAAATGTCTTTTTTTTAGTAGTGTCCCGATCCTGCGGAGGTGGTAATCCCAAGATTTTCTCAACGATTGCTGTTGAGGTTAAAGTCACCCAAGGTTCTCTCACCGTTCCTGTTGAGATAGTAACCATCCCTGGTTCATTCATCTTTTGAAGCTCCAGATCCAGCTCCTGTAACCAGTCAGGACACATCTATACAAAGAATCTGAAGACCAGCTCCTGTAACAAGTCAGGTACTCATTTTTCTTTTGCAGGTACGCAAGTTCTCGCTAAGGAATCTCTTACGCGATCAACATCCAGATGGCATCTATAAGCCCATCCACTTTCCAGCATCTCTCAGCATGGCATCTATAAGCCCATCATCCTATCCATCATCTCTCCAAATGGCATCTATAAGCCCATTCCCGTCATCACGTTGCTGATACTCTACTATGCGAGTGCAAATTTCTGGGCACTCTAGTGTTCAATCATCTTCCACCTTCGGATCACGAAAGGCACGCAAGCCAATCTACATCCTCAGGTTTAAGAAGATTGAACAGGGGCAACTGTTGTACCCCAAAATTTGCCCTCCCATGTTTCTCAAAACATTTCAAGAAAAATTCACAAGTCCAACCCGACGCGTCATATTCAGGTATTCTTTCGCCAAGATATCTCTGATAACGTATTCTCAAATTCAGGTTCGGCTCAAGAGTCAATTCTTTAAAGAAGTTATCCGAATGTGTGAGTTTTCTCGAAGAAATATGGTGAAAAAGTGTGCTGAAAGTGTAGTTTTTACGCGCTAAAAAATTCATAACTTGAATATCGTGGCTCGTTTTGAACCTGTTCCGGTGGCCAAAATTCCGTCTTGACATTATCTACGTTTTCATCTCTCACGGATGGAAGCCAATTTCGATCAGAAGGTCTTCAAAAATGTGGATTTATCAAGTATTTTCGTGCAGAAAATTTGTGACAGAAGTTTATTTGCGTCATGTTCAAAAAATCATAACTTGGTCGATTTTCATCGTATCGAGCTGGTTCTGCCGCCAAAATTTCACAAATTGAGTTGACTACATTTTCACAGAAGGTATTGAGTTCAAACGGTATTCAAAAGGCCTTCGTTTTTTACTCAGAGTGCGTGACACGCTGAAAATCCTGAATGCTGAATATTATTTCATCTGAGCCGAAACTTCGAAAATTCATAACTCGGTCAATTTTTATCGGATTGGGCTCATATTTTTACACAAGGTCCTTGACTTATAGATATACAACTTTGCTTCAAAAGTCGAGACCAAATTATGCACCGATCAATACTAGTTTTTTATTGAAGAACGTGTCAGAGTCGACACTGAAGCCCAAAATAAGTTTGTCTGAGCTGAAACTTCAAAAATTCATAACTAATTCACCGTTTATCCGATTGAGTCGATTTTCGGACAAGAGTTAGTTCTCGATGTCGGCTACATTTTGTTTTCACACTTCAACTTCAAAAAATGCACTTAAGTTCCTGCGATTTAGCCTGGAAAGTGACGAATTCAAGTGAATATTGGAGGCCCAATTGCACATTCAAAGCCCATTTGCTTTACCCTAATTTTCATTATATAATCACCTTCTTTTCACACAAACCAAAAAGAAGAGGAAAAAAGGAGAAGGAGAAGAGAGAAAAAACCTTGCCACAACACTGTTAGAATATCAAACTCTTTCAAGAACCCTAAAACCTTGAAATCCTTATTACAAATCCCTCTCTCACTACAAACAAGCCATCACAGTTACAAACCAACACCTTACTACTTCTTCAGTAAGGGTAAGGCTGACTTGATCTCCGTGATCCAAAAGGCATAAAAGCATTCAGGTCACTAATTTTTCAGTAAGGGTAAGATTGATTTTATCTCCATGATCAAAAGGGTATAATCATTCATACATGCCATATTGTGCCTAAACATTAAATTTCTTCATATATTGGCTTTATTTGCATTTTATGATTTTATTTAATGTGTTCGTGAGATTCAACACTGCAGATTTAGACAGGATCCATGCACGTTCATTTAGGAACGTTGAGGCCAAAAGCCAAAAGGTCAAAAGCCAAAAGCCAAATGGCCAAAAGCCAAAAGCCAAAAGTCAAAAGCCAAATTGCCAAAAGAACAACTTATGCATGACGAGACAGACATCCTGAGAAGATTAAGGAACGTTGAGGCCAGAACACAAATGACTATGAAACTCAATCCAATGGCCAAAGAATGCAGACCACGGTACTCAGGAGTCAATGAACACGCACGTGATGCCAGAAAGTCAAACAAGGCTTTTGTCTAATGGGCCAGATTTCTCACAAAAAACCTCCCTTTGGGTCTGAATACCCCCCATGGTTTGCACATTTTATTTTTTTATTTTCCTTTTTATTCTTTTAATTGTTTTCAATTGTTTTCTTTAATTTCATAAATTAATTTTCATAAGATAAAAAATCAGAAACTAAAATATATTTAATTATTATTATTTCACTATTAATTTATTTTGTAAATAAACTTTAATAAATGTTTAGTAAATTAGGTTTTAAAACTTTAATCTTTTTCTCAATAAATTAAAATATGTAGAAATTAGGTTTTTTAACTTTTTATCACTTCTCTTAATAAATAATTTTTTCTTATTATCATTATTATTAATTACTAATTTATTTTGTAAATAAACATGTAATTAATTAATTAGGGTAAATTATGTTAAACTTGAATATCTTTCATAAATAATTAAAAACACTTTAGAACTAGGATTTTATTTAACTTCTAATTTTAATTAATTTTCTTTATTTTTATTAAATACAAAAAAACATAAAAAAACAATTTCTTTTCTTAATTTAATAATTAATTAACTTTTAATTTCAATTTAATCTTTAAAGGGTCCAACGCCCGCGAACATTCGATTCTAATTTCTTTTCGCGCATTTATACTTATTTACTTCCGTTGCAAATATCATGTAATTGTTCAAGCCGTGTAATAGTCATTAGGAATTTATTTACTTTCTGCATTTTTATTCAAAACGGGTCTTTGTTAATTTGGCAATGTATAGACCCGCGCCTTGTAATAGCGTAGGACTTTATTTTCCGCACTTTAATTTCCGCACTTTTAAACTGCTAAAACTTTGCATGAAAGAATGAATGGCCTAAATTAAAAACAATGTGTAGCTCACCAAATGCATGACAAGATAAAACATAACTGAAAATAATACACAAATTCACACACCACTCTTAGGGTACGCCTCACTGTTGCCTTGCCCTCGAAACATGGTCGTCGAGTATATGACGTTTTAGTAAGTCCTTATGTCCATGATCTATGGCATATGGGTAGCTTCTAAGGTGTCCTACTGTTGCTCTAGTGACCACACTGTCCCTACAAACGAATTGACCCGAATACCTCCAACGGTGGTGCCACCTACCTCTCAATGGTGGGATGGCACTACCTTAAAAGACATTTACACAGACGAATTCCTTAGGGTAGGTAGGTTCTCGTAGATACTTGCTCTAATTTCAAAACAAATCAAATATACTTTTCACACCGACACCTTTTCAAAAAGCTTTCGAAAGCAACTTTTCAAACACTCTTGAGGACTGATACAAGAGTTGAACTGGAATTTTCAAAGAAACTTTTTAAAACCCACAATTGAAAAGCAAACAAACTATTTTGAAAACACAATGAGCAAGTATCTAAGAGCCCATGGATAACCATGGATAGAAAGGATGCTAACACTTTCCCTTTCTATAACCTACCTCCCGAACCGAGAGCAATCTCTTTAAGGAATTTTTCTGTGCTTTTGTCCTTCCCATTTGGAGAAAATAAAAGACGGTGGCGACTTTTGCTTCCGCGACATTTCGCGAACCAGCGTTAAACAGTCAGTTCCAGATCCACCGATTACACTAACCAATTCGTGTTAAGCCTTTTTTGTGCATAAAATCCTAGATTTGAACCAAATATGGAAAGTTCTTCAATGATGGTCAACCAAATCTCCAAATTTCAATACACCAAGATAT